GACAGGCTCGGTTCTCCCGCGGCCGCATTAGGGGATCCGCAATTCCTACCTACTTTGTCTTCCTCGCTCGTCTCGGGACAAATAAGAGTATAAGATCGGCCGCTTTTTCATTATTTACTTTGACGTCTTTTTGGGGGACGCATTTCAAATGTGGCACGTCTTAAATAGAAAATGTTTATGATGAGCTAGGATTAGTCGCTGGAAATGTTGTAGGCTTACTTTGTAATGGAAAAGCGTTTAGCTTTTCTTAATGTTTAAACAGGAAAAATATTCTTTAACTCATAGCTACTACATCATAGTTCGGGTAAATTGGAACCCTATTACTGTCACTCTGTCGTCTGTCTGTCTGTAGGTCACGGGTCTCTAGAGAATAAACGGAATGAATGACAAAACTATAATTTTGGTATTTTATGTATGCTTGTAAAAAAGAAGAATATTTAGTTAAAAAAATATTTAAACTATTTTGACTTTTATGTGAGTAGGACACAAATATAATTTTTTATTATTTTTATTTTCAATTACAAGGAAAAGTTGTCATTTTTAGACCATTTTTGTTATGGGGTCTATCTGAAAATCGAAACAGTTAACATTGTAAATTTAACTATATATAATGATGTCCCTTATGCTGTATTTAAACAACACATACTGAAAATTCCGATTAATAAATGTAGGTGATTTTCCTTTCGCGGTTTATTGCGATGTTTAAAAGTCATCGATATAAGATATCTACAATAAATAATAATTAATTGTACGAAACCCTAAAAGAGCGAGGCCAGACTCGCGTTGGCCAGTTTTTTTATGTTTATTTAACTGAGAAAACTATCTTAAAAGTTTTTCATTAGAATATCTCTGAATACTTAATTTATTATTAGGTAAGTTAAATTGAACATTAAGTTAAATTGCCATTTTTATACGCTAATTAATTCAGATTTTTTCTAGGCATTCTTCCAAGAAACGATTCGAGCGCAGAGCGTACATGTTATAAAACAATTTACTTAATGCCGTCGTACACATTTCGTGTCTAAAATTCTATGCAAAACAACGCTACAGTGCAGTTTTGTCTGTTTAAGAGTTTCCCTAGTTCTCAAAGGCGAGATATTGCGCTCAGTTCTCGTATTTGTTGAACAAGAGTGTAATTCCCAGAGGTTTTGTCTTGCGGCAACACATTTCACAAAATGGGAAGACGCCGGCATTCAAAGCGAGCTGCTGCATTTTTAAATTCCTCTCTATATGGTGGGCAGTTCGCAGTAAAAACTCACGCGGGCAAGCAAACTAATGGGCGTTTTTTTCAAACTCGCTTTTTTTCGTTGCCTACATTTACATTTGCAGTCGGACGGGCCAAGTATTCCGATTACGCGTACAGCCTCACGTATCCCTGAGTAGATTCTGTTACGATTAGTTTTAATTTCGCTCGTGGGACACTTAAACTATTTTGTACGAGACTCCGCGGCCGCCCGGGCCATCCCTGGAGATTTATTGAAAAACTTTTTGCGATCGCGGACTTATTCCGAAATTACTTCTGCTTTTACGACTTTTGTTTTCGACTTTCGCGCGCACAAGTGGTTTAGGTTAAGAGACAAACAGTCACTTACGCTTATTTATTGAAAGTTTAAGCAGGCTTACTCAATATCAAAAGCGATGTAACCAGATCTTTGTTTTCATTCGAGAAATGTAGATATTGTTCAATAAGCAGTAAATGGATAGTATTGTAGTTTTTAGTGACCACTGTTAACTTCCAATAAATAACATGAAAATCGAGGCAAATAAGCCGAGAGTAAGATATTAGGTCTTTAATTTATCACAAAAGGCAGCACAACAGCATGGCTGTTTCAGTGGTTTCTGAAATTGTCGGGTGTGCTCCTAAAGATTTTATTTTGTCTTTTGGGTCAAATAACAAAGTCTTAAGTCTTTTGTGGCAGCCAGTTTTTTCAGCAACGCTCGTATTTGGCCCTAGAGAGAAAATTTATGTTTCAATTTGATATTAATGTAACAATTTCAAAAAGTATCTTTTTATCTGACACAAGCTGACCAGGCAAACTTAGTGCCGGTCGTATAACAGTCGATGAATTTGGTTTTCTTTACATGTTTAGCTTAATTGATGATTTATTACTAAACTAGTGGCCCGCCCTCGCTTCGCTTCGGTGTAGAGCTGTAGTGTAGACTAAAATGACTCTTCATATTATTATAAAAAAAACTAAAAATGGTATATTTGCCTTTTCCAAACATCTATTGACATAACGTCACACAATTGTTTTGCCTTGCCGTAACCTCTCCACTAACATTTGAAATTTATGGTATGGTATTAAAGTTCAAATTGATTTAATTAAGTATTATTACGAATCGTTTGTATGGGAGTATAGAAAAGTGTTTTTTTTGGACTTTTTCAGGCATTTTTTTTTAATATTTCTCTGCGTAAGAACCGTCCACGTACTTCAAGGAATATTCTAAAAAAAGAATTATCGAAATCCGTTCAGCTGTTCTCGAGGTTTGCGCTTAGCAACACATTCAGCGATTCATTTTTATATTATCTATACTAATATTATAATGCTGCAGAGTTTGTTTGTTTGTTTGTTTGAACGCGCTAATCTCTAGAACTACTGGTCCGATTTGAATGATTCTTTCAGTGTTGGGTAGTCCATTTATCGAGGAAGGCTATTTTTTTAATTTCAAATTTCAAAAACCTATTTTTGAGTGCGCTGCAAAAACTATTGACAATAGAACAAAATGATGTACTACGGGTTTGTAGATCCCATTAAGACCTACAAAAAAGTCCGCGAGAACATATATCTAGCTATCATGGTTTAATCACAATAACCGACTTTGTGTTCAAAATAATTATTAAATCGTCTGAAGAAAAAAATACTTTATTAAATATGTATCGTAATATTAATCTTTATCGAAATTAAGCATTATGTTATCAAGAGTATTTATGTAGAAGTAAAATACTTTTTGTTTCATCTCAATCGGATATTTCGTTTAAAAGTTATCACGTGTGTAAGATGTTAAGAGTTGGTACCTATTAATGAGTTAGGGGCCATAGAGTTTTGTATCAACATAAAATCCTGTAATAACCTTTTTCGAAATATATTTGTTGATGATTGTAAACGCGGGTGAAACCGCGGGGCACGGCTAGTAGATAGATAAACCAAATGCAAAGTAGTCTAGTAGTTTATCAGGATTTTTGATATAGAGAAAATTAAATTTCAATAACGTGCACTTGACTGGCGTATTGTATATTAGCAATAGGCAATATTTTAGGAAACTAAAAAAAATATATTATGCTGAAATGAAAACTACGATATTGATACTTAAGTATAGAGCCCAAGTTATTTCCATCGTCTTCTTACCAAAACATCGGCTAGTATTGCAACGTGTCTTATGATTATAGTCAATGATATTTATTATAATAGCATTTTAGAGTGTTTTCTTAAAATTACATTATCACCCCTACAAACATTTTAGTACAACCTAACTGATTTGCACTACAAAACAAGCTTTGTGCATGCGTAACGTACTTCTAAATTGTGGAAGATGGCGGAATACCAAAACTAGTTTATTTATTGAAAAAAGATTTTCTGCATAACCTTTTTCCGTGGTGTTTTCAAAAATGTTAACAGATATTCTGCTATTAGGCGCGGAGATGAATCCAAAAAAACAGATCTCTAAAAAATTGGTATAGAAGTTCTTGAGTTGTACGTGTTTACAACTAATACGACTTTGTTTTATATTTATATATATATATATATATATATATTGATTTACTATAGCTGTTGATAACACACTCATTTTGTAACGAATTAGTTATTCATAAAATCTAAAAAAAAGCTAAGGGCATTACAACATCTTTTAACATATATCAATAATTCGTTTTCATTTATTTTTGTTGAACTTTTGCACGGTACTTTGTTACTTAAAGCTAGGTATTTAACAATGATTATTATTTCTGTAAAATTTCATCGACAAAAATTCTCAGTTGAATCAAAGGTCATTGTTCACAAAAGAAAAAGATTTTCACTATTTACAATGCGCAACGTACGATAGTAAAGCTGCCTATCTTTTTAAAAATACGCCGCCACGAATGTGTATTCAAGGACAATGGGCGTACAGTTCCATTGCGATTTGCAAAGCTTTGAGGGGATGAGACATTGCGATTCATTCGCGCGTTTAAAAGCAAGACAGTAATTTCACAGGCCTTTGTCTCGCCACTCGGAGGCTTACAGCAAAATATGCGCATTCAAAATGGATTTTTATCGTTTTTCAAGTGGGCTCTGGTTGCACGCTAGCTGCTGGCCTATTTTAACAAAGCTCATTTCTCTATGTGCGTGTGCTGATGTTTTTTTAACGCGTTTGTTATGTATACCCCGTTTAATTTATTCGTTGTTTAACTTTTTTAATTACGGTTTAAATTGTTTCTGTCAATACAAAGTGCGAGTTAGCGTTGTTATTTTAATAAGAATTCGATAGTATTTAACGGGCTTGTCAAGTACAACAAAAAATAGTCAAATTTAACGTAGAATGCTCTGCTAAATTATATCGTACAAAATTACATTGTCATCCGAATTCGTTTCAATGTAACACCCTACCACCCCTCGTCACTCGCCGCCGCGCGTGTGTTTTATTTCACGCCGCACCAAATAGTTTATGCACCGTGTGACCTTATTCGGATGAGGCGCATCTCTGGGTCACTGTACTCTGAAAGTTCACAGTATTGATTTTATTGCGCGCGCCCGAAAATATAAACGGAAACTGCTTTCATCCCGCGCGGATCGGCCACTGATTTACGCGAACGCCCGACTACACCCACATTCAATTACTTTAGAGGGTAAATGGACGCATCCTTTTCAAACACTTATGGAATCCATTGAGAGGGTGTGACGCCCCCTAATTGAATTAATGTAATTCAATAACGCTGTCCGTCGTAGATACTTCTGTTAGACGGCTTAATTTAATGGAGATCGATCAGCCATCATGTCTAATTGGAACTGTCTTATCTGTCGCAGGTTTCGTACTGTTGGTGGGCCACGACTGCGAGACGCTATTCAAGTGCCGGATCATCCGATCACAACAAAAGTGAGTATTTAGGTGAAACAAGACTGCTGCAACGTTGTGAAAGCCAAACCTTTTGGGTAGTCATTTGTTTTGGGCCGGGGCGAAGCTTATCCTCTCCAACTTTACATTTTATTGTAACGGTAACACAGATAGTCGTAAAACGGGATTTATCAAAAGAAAGAGAGAGGAAGAGTAGGTACTTTGCTAAGCAATTTTCTGTCTTAAGCGTAGCGGTAAAGGTCGCAAATAAGCCTCAGCCTTGTTCCCCGGCGCGACATTCTCGTTACGTAATTACTTTAGACGCGGCAGGCGGGCCGTCGACCCCTGCCGACTTTGACCCACTTCTTACACTAATTTTCATGTCTCAGGCTGAAGATAACTTTATCCGTAAAACGCTTTGTCTGGGGGGGATGTTCCGCGAATATTGGGGGTCGCGCACCTGCAATAATTAGTACACATCGTCACATCGAGTGCTCTGTTTTGTTCTTAATTTATAACACAACTGGTCTGCAACAAAGCGCTGTCTGGATGTTTTCAACTGATTTCTAAGTATTTAGGTGTTATGCAAACTAATGAATACCCATAAAATTCCAGAACGTCAGGTCATTTTGCAAAAAGGGGATTTTGGGCTAACTTGACGTCATAAAAAATTTTGATTACTGTTTTCAAATGTTTACAGGTCATAACTATCATTACTCTCTAAATAAAGAAGGTCCTTTGTGAGCTAAATTAACAAACAAACAAACATGTTGTAACAACGTGCGCATACAATTACGTGGCGGGGTACAATTACGTGTACAACTCGTCATTATTTTTAGTTCTGGTTCAATGTACTAGAGCAATGACGTTTGTGCGGTAGTGTGTGAATTTGTTCGACAGTTTCTGTTATATTTGTTATATACTCAATATCAAAGTTTTCAGGCCTCTCGGAGGAAAAGTTTAATGAAGGTGTTTCCGTTGGACCACATATTAGACGGCTTATAGCTGATCCACAACTCATCACATCCATGATGAATCCTCAAAGAGAAGGGTGGATTATTGCCTTTAAAAAGGTCACAGATATTTTTTAAGCAATAACGAATATCCTAACTACAAACAAATCACGTCAAAAAACCGTAAAGCATTTCAAGCTATAGGTTGCTTAATGAGTTTTAAAATACATTTTCTTCATTCACACGTCGACTACTTTCCAGAAACTTTTGGAGATGTGAGTAAAGAGCAAGGTGAACGATTTTACCAAGATGTTAAGAAGATGGATTAAATATACCAGGGAAGATGGAGCGTCTCAATGATAGCAGAATACTGTTGGACTCTTCAGAGAGACCTTTTAGATGCTTCTTACAAACGAAATTCTTACATTTTTTTTATGTTATAGGGGGCATACGAGCAGACGGCTCACCTGATTATAAGTGATTACCGTCGCCCATGAACACTCGCAACACCAGGAGTATCACAAATGCGATGCCGGCCTTTAAGGAAGGAGTACGCTCTTTTTCTGAAGGTTTTTGGGTCGTATTGGTCCGGAAACACTGCTGGCGACAATATATTCCACAGTTTTGTCGTACGTGGTAAAAAATTTCGACAAAACGAACGGTTGTGGATAGCCACGCATCAAGATGATGGGGATGAAATTTTTGTCGCGATGTACGATGGCGAAATGCAGCAGCTGGAATTAATCTGAACAATTCGTCAGAACACTCCCTGTGATAAATACGATAGAAGATGCAGAGCGAAGCTACATCCCTACGCAAAGCCAAAGGATCAAGCTGATCGGAAAGGTCCTGGTCATCGACGATTCGAGTCACTCGGCGCTGGATGCGATCTAAAGGGAGAAGCTGGTACTGGAGTGCCCCCGCCCAAAGATGAGAGCAGTACTCCATGTGAGGCCGAACCTGTGCCTTATAAAGTTGCAGTCGGTGGGCCGGTGTGAAGTCCATTCTCGATCTATTGAGCACACTAAGCTTCTTAGAGGCCAATTTGGCCTTGCCCTCTAAATGATCCCGGACATCGCTCGATATGTCAACGCCAAGAATTCCAATACTAGCTGAGGCAGTTAGAGGAGTGGAGATGGAGAGGACATGTACTAAAAGGAGTCTCACTGGAAAAAGTAATGTGTTTGGTACTAACTAATGAATGTATTTAAAATAACAAATGTTCCGATACGCAATTGTTATATACCGGATTAGGAAGCTGAAGTAGCAGTGGGCTGGCCATATTTGCCGAAGAACCGATAACCGTTGCGGTAGACGAGTTCTGGAGTGGAGACCGCGTCTGGAGCTCTACTCTCTTTCTCCGAAACGAAATTTCGCCAATGAACGAATTTTAAAAGAAATTTCGCCAGTGACTCTACTCTATTTCATCTTCGAACACGCACATAAAGTTATGTTTGTGAGTTCTTTTTGTCTGCACTTTTTAGATAACGTTTTTTACTTCAAAACAATATTACTTTATGACAACATTTTTGATTACATTAAAACAACCTCTTTTGACAGTATTAGCCGACTAATTTGTAGAGTTGATGCAATCGAATGTATGTCAACCTAAATTTGTCGTGTAACACTTTGAAGTATTGGCAATACAATAATAAACAAAAATTCGATTTATTTTTTAATTTTTCAGACTAAAAAATGTTCCTCACGCTAAGCAGCCTTAATTCAAAATACTCTAGTAGTAATTTTAGGTTTAATTTACACAAAAATCCTAAAACGAAAATGAAAAGGTAACACTTTTCATTTCGTTAATTTGAGGTTAAAATTTCGAACAATTATCTGTCAAATTCAACTTTTAGTTCAAAAGTTTTGTGAATTAGAGTAGGCTTGGAGAATTTAAATGTCAAACTATTTTCGGACGAACGAATTTTCGAAATGAAATAGAAACAGAGAAAGGAACTTGCGAAATTTCGATCGAAATTTCGTTTTTCGTTGAAATAGAGTAGGCCTCCTGTTGCCTGGTTACGTTTTTTTCGTTGATAGAATGGCAATTTTTTGTATTCAATATTTTTTAAGTTTGCTTAATGTATTAACATCTTATATATTATAATCCTTAAAATATACCAGCGCATCGCAAGAAACAAGTTTTATTTCACAATAGCGTCTAAGCAAACGTAGTGTAGGACGTCCTCAGGCACGATGAAGTGACGATTTGCGCAAGGTGGCTGGCAAGAGCTGGATGCGAGTAGCCCAAGATCGATCTGAGTGGCGTGCAATTGGAGAGACCTATGTCCAGCAGTGGACTAAGATGGGCTGTTGATGATGATGATGGTGACGCAATTGTTATAAAAAATATAGTCTTTTACCTATCTTTTATTTTAGGATGATAACTAGTTAAACATAGATACCTACATTGTCAGAAAACGTGACGTTCTATGACAAAATGAAAGTCATTTTCGGATTCGGTACACTCAAAAACATTATAAAACCGAAACAGCTCTCAATTATTATTTTTTGCAGACTTGTTTAATAAGCGTCCATCGTAAAATGCTTTTTATAAATTATATTTCAATACGTTTTGCGTTTGTAAGCATTTCTGCAGTGCCAAAAATTACCATAACTTTGTTGAAATGACAGAATTTATAATTCAAGTCAAATTAAAATATTATGTAGATCCTTACTAATATTATAAAGGCGAAAGTTTGTTTGGATGGATGTATGGATGGATGTTTGTTCCTCTTTCACGCAAAAACTACTAAACGGATTTTAATGAAACTTTACAGTAATGTAGCTTATAGATCAGAATAACACATAGGCTATAATTTATAAAGATATTGTGTGAATTGTCCAAAATATAACGATAAATGTCATTTAAGTCTGAATAAATTCTGCAATCTGCGAGCTATTCAGGCGTGTAAGGATAAAATTGTCTAAAAAATATCCCGCAACAGCATATGTCTATCTTTTATGGTTGACTCACAATAACACGTGTAATTATATAAATAAAGTCATTCTTTATAGCACAAGCCTGAGAACAAAAAGTATAGTTTACACTACAGCTCTACACCGAAGCGAAGCGAGGGCGGGCCACTAGTTTAATTAATAAGGCTGAAAATTCGGGTGTGAAAAGTTTGAAATTGATTTTACCTCTGAAATAATAGCAATAACTAAAGTAAGTTAGAGAAATAATTTAGTTAAATATGAATTTAAAAAAAATCTATAGAGTCCTTAATGGTCAGATTTTGATGCCCCATCGTATTTAAGTGAAGTTGCGGTACCCCTAAATAAATACCAAGAACGGTATTAGTATTGGTTCTTGGACTTCACCGAGTCTCCTTTACGAAATGTGCACATTTTTATAATATTCACAGGGACGCGTTATTAACTTAAATATACATAGGAATTATAGTAAAAATCCAACCTAGAAGATTACATTTGAAAAATATGTTGGGATTGAATAATGGTTATTAATCCCTAGACACTATTGATGTGTAGATATAGTTTGGAAATGACCTGCATAAGTCATATTTGAGTAAAAAAGCAAAACTAACAATTTAAAAAGGGTTCATAGTTAAATTAATTACAGATGTTAAGAAATACGAAACAGTGCATATTTTAAGGTATATGAAATAAAAATTCTGGACATCCCTATATCACATTAGTTTTCTTACTCATATTATGCCTATACTGAGCTATAAAGGGTGAAAGAAAAAACGTTTTAACGAAAAATAAAACTGATTTCATAAAATCAAAACCAAAAGTTAAAAAGTAAAAAAAAAAGTAATATTTGGAGCCGGTGCTATATTTACTTATTGAACTAAGTTGCCATTTACGGTTTTGAGTTGGCATGGCATAGACACGAAATGTTAATTTGAATTTAGATGTAGTTTAGATAGTAGTAAATAATATGGTTTCTTAATTTTAGTGGTTTTCTTTGTATGAAGCTGGTTTTTATTAATGTTAAAAAGGTTTTTTTTTATTATTGTAGGTATGTAACCTATTATTTTTAATAAAAAAAGACCATTTTTTTATTTGTTACAACGATTTATCATTTAATTAAAACTAAAAGTAACGAATCAGAAGAACATAGAA